CGCGGGCTCGGGGGCGCCCCGGGGCTGTGCCCGGGACTAGTGGGTGCCCCCGATCGGAGAGAGGAGCTCGGCAGCCGCGATGCTAGGGCCCTGTCTTCGGGGTCCGAGTCCCTTGCCGCCTGGTCCAGCGTCCCGACTCCGGCTAGTCGCGGGCCAGCACCCGACTCCTCCCACGGCCGGGCCCGCCGGAGCCGGGCGGGGACGCGTCTGCAGAGACGCCGGGACTCGCGGCCGGCACCGGCTCCGGGAGGGCTGCGTGCGCAGAGCTGACACTGACAACACCGCCGGCGCCCCGCCCCCACCCACCCTTAAAGGAGCCGCACCCGCGCCGGGCGGGGCTGGGCCAGCTGGGAGCAGTGAGCGGCAAAGGCTCCATCCTGCAGTCGGGGTGCAACCCCTCACTGGAACGCAAGACGAGAGTAATTTCACTTAACTAAGATGCTGCCTGCTTTCCCATATGCTTCTTAGATTTCCTCAGGTTGGACGCCTGTCGGCTTAAAAAGGAGGTGACCCCTGTGGATATCACCGCCTTCTCCCAATAACCCCAAGCTCAGCAGCTTCTAGGTTCACATTTCCTGGCTGAAGCTTAGCGCTGGTTAGGAAGGTGCAAGGCATCCTTCCCAGTTAGAGAGCCGCTGACATCCACCAAGAGAAAGCAGAACCTGAACTTGGTAGAGGTTGAAAATAGAACATGGGTCACTGAATTCCCTTCACCACCATTACCGCCCTCACCCTTGGAGCTGGGATCCAGGAACACCCTCATTAACCTCCACGTTAGTGTGGGTTTGTTCTGGAGATATTTCCCAAGCCTGGGGCTGCGTCTGCTTTTAAAAATAATACAGTACATTTCCATAGTAACAGCTCCTGCCTGTGGAGCACGTGTAGAGAGGGTGGTAAGGAGAGGGGAACTGGCAGTGTAGTGTTGGAATAAGACTTGGTCTGGGTGGTGCAGGCCTGAATCCCAGCCACTGAGGAGGCTGAAGCAGGAGGCTTGCAAGTTAGAGGCCAGAGCCCGGGCAGTTTAACAAGACCCTGTCTCAAAAGAGTTGGGAATGTCGTAGGTTTAAACCCCAGTAGTATGTAGGGGGTTGGGTGGGGGAGAGGGTTGACCAGAAGACCTTACCATCCAAATACATGATATCCTGCTGGGTGTAGGAGCCCACACCTGTATAGTTTTAGTTATTTGAAAGGCTAAGGCAAAAAGATCACTTGACCTGAGCACAGTGGCTCACCGTGGCATACGCCTATAATCCCAGCACTCCAAGATTGTTGTGAGTTTGAGGCCAGCCTGAACTACATAGTGAGTTCAAGGCCAGGCTGAATGGCATAGTGAGACCCTTTCTGAAACAATCAAGGGAAAAAAAAATCATTTGAGCTGAGAAGCTGGTGATCAACCCAGGCAACCAGCGATGCATCTCAAAAACAAAGGAAAGGGGCTGGGGATTTAGCTCAGCGGCACAGCGCCTGCCTGGCAAGCACAAGGTCGTGAGTTCAATTCCTGGTACCGGAGAAAAGAAAACCAAACTGCCCCCCACAAAAAAAAAAAGAAAAAAAAAAAAAAGCTGGGCATAGTGGTACACACCTGTAACCCAAACCAAATATGGGTTATCTCAACAAGCTCTCAAGAAATGATGTTGTAGGTACACTGCCCAAACTCTGGCCTCAAAAATCTACCCCTCAAAAAAAAAAAAAAAAAAAAAAAAA